CAAGAGAAGACCTGAAGCGACCACCATACCGCTTAGCAGATCGACCTCCTCCACGACAAAAATAAGGAAGCCATCTCCAGCAGACTGGTCCAGATACAGGAACTCTTGCATGCCAAATAACCAACAGGAACTAGAACAAGGAACCAGGAAACAAGCATCACAAGGAAACACCTGAAGCGACCACCGTACCGCTTAGCAGATCGACCCCCTCCAAGACAAAAATAAGGAAGCCATCTCCAGCAGACTGGTCCAGATACAGGATCGTTTGCATGCAGAATTCTCAGACAGGACATGACACACACAGAGCAGAACAGGAAAGCTGCAAAGTCCACTCCACGAACTCCAAGAGCCTATGGCCATTTGTCACAGGTGGCGGTATGGAAACCGGGACCCCTGAGTGCCTGATGAGAAGTGGAGTCTTCAGCGTGAAAGTGGATTATCAGGGTTCTGGTATGTGGCCGCGCAAATGCTGGTGCTCAACACCAGAGGACGTGTGGTTACCCAGCACCAGGCCCTGATAATCCACTTCCACGCTGAAGACTCCACTTCTCATCAGGCACTCAGGGGTCCCGGTTTCCGTACCACCACTCGTGACAGACGGGACACACTGAGACATATGGACACTGGGAGAAATGGGGACACAGACACTCGGAGACTAGGGGACTGGGCAACATGGGGACACTGACACCATCATACATAGGGACACTGATGCCAGGCTGGCCTTCCAATTCTTTTAACAGACATGCCCCCTTTTTGGGCATGTTCGCCCTTTTGGCATTTCACGTGATTTGTGTCAGTGGCCCACCCTTTTACCATGCCCATTGACTTCCTGCTTCACTGGACACTGCTGTTAGGGGGTATGGAGTTACTTGAAAGATTAAAGCATACATTAGAAAGAGATTAGCATTGGGTATGTGTTTTCTTATAGCTACATCCTTAGAGATTCCCTTCAACACCAACTCCATCAGATACATGACGCTTGAGAGGTATGACTGTTTTAGTGTTTTTGGTCGATAAGATTCTGTAATTAGGCCCCATCATTATTGTCAGAACCCAGCCCACTGGGCTCTTAATCTGGCCCTAGGTGCAGCCTGGCTTGTTTTAGAAGGGAAGAACTGGCAAAGGCAAGAGACAAAAGATAAGCAACTTTTGAAAACGGTTTTCAGATACAGTTTACCCCCAATGAAAAACTGCATG